TCGATGCAGGTTTTTGGAGTGACATTGAAATAGCTTCAGAAAATGACAATGAACTCTCTTCAGTTGACAAGCGATGATATCTAACAAGTGCGCCAATATGAACCACATAAACTCGACTTTCGCTGCCTGGCATCGACAGTGTTCAAAAACCATAAAATAGTACTTCAAAAAACTGACGTAACAGCGCCTTTGAATCAACACACCAGGGACATTTGGGCATAGCTGCAATTAAACGCATTATTCGCGAATACTTTTGGTGGCCATCCCTCTTAGCGGTCAGTCGAACGGAGCCGTAGAGCGTCAGAATCAAGGAATTCTGAAAGCTTTAGCTGGTAGCAAGCAGGATGGAACCAACTGGAGGGCTGATCTTCATAGGTATGCTCACGTCCACAACACAATTAAGCCCCATTCCAGACTCGGTATCGCACCCTTCGAGCTCATCGTTGGGTTGGAAGTACCGGGGAACATTTCCGGCCCTTTGAGAGTCAAAGTCTGACAATGAACTGGATCGTCACAACGTTAAGGAACATGACATTCTATCGAAATTTGTGAGCAAGGGCTACGTGGACAACCGTAGAGGAGCTAAGCCTTCTGATATCAAGGCAGGTGACAGGGTCGTAGTTGCGGTCGCAAAATCAAACAAAACTGATCCATTATTTTCGAAGAAGAGGTACACGGGTTTTTGGATGGTACACCCAATCGGGGGATGTAAGATTCGCTTACAATTATGTGGGATTCATCATCAGAGGATGTTAGTGGAGACCGCATGAACCGAGGATGCGATATACCTAGCTGTGGTCCAATGCAAGAAAATTGGAGACCGAAAAATGTAGAGTGTATTAGTTATGTAGAGTGTATTAGTTATTTATTAATTAGTTATGTCGAAAAAAATAGGAACCAGATTGTCGACTGGACTTGATCCACGAACATTGCGATTATCAGACCTGTGATTTCTCCACTGCTCTCTCCATGCTCCTGAATATGGATAGCCTAAAAGCAAACATGAAGCGTTCATTTTCTCGCACACTCGACTTCGTATGCTTTTTCTGCTGGAGAGATTCGAGGCAAGTGTGTGCGTCGTTCTACAATGTTCTACAATGTGCGTCGTTCTACAATGTTCTACAATGTGCTTACTGGTATAGTCGAAAGCGTAGATAGAACACGAAATAAAAAAGACAAAAAACCATTAGGTACATCGCCAGCATGGTCAATTTATAACATTCGTTGCGTTGTTCATGAACAGAGGATGATAGGAAACGGAACTAACATTCATTGTAATAGATTTTTGGTTTGCGTGTAGAAGTTTCATTTTATGTTGAGAAATATCAAAAGAAACGGTAGCCGGTGGAGTAGTGATAAGCGTGACTGCTTCCTCACCCCAATGGTTCTGGGTTCAATTCCAGCCAAGGTCGGTGGGATTTTTCTGAGGCATAAAAATCTCTGGTCACGACTTCCTTCAGATGGGAAGTAAAGCCGTTGGTCCCGTTGAAGTTGCTTTAAAACAGTTAAATTGAATGGCGCAAATTTTACCGAATAGATCAGCTGTTGAGAATTCGGTAAAAACTACCGAAATCGGCGATAATTTCTTAGTGTGAATAGAGCAGCAATTTTTTAAAAGTCTCTGCAAAGTTTTTAGGCCTTTTTAATTCAATTTTTTGCGTCTTAGAACCAATTTGACGTTATGAATGCTTAGTTTTATTAGCGGATTTCATCGTTTTATGAGCGGCATTCAGGTCGTTCAGCCATTTTGAATGTCCAGAGCTATTTTGATATTTGTTGTTGTTTTTTTTATGTTTTGAATGCTATTTCAAGAAGTTTTAGACCATTTTGGCGTTTGAATGTTATTTTGGTATTTTTATATATATTTTTATATGCGAAGTGCAACCTCAAAAGCACCTACAGATCCAACTGGCCTGGGGTTAATTTCTCAGTATATATGGGACAGTGCGCCCAGTAACGCTTGGTAGATTACCTTTTCGTGGTGCGTCACTGGTATTAAGGTCTACTACTTCACGAACTACTTCAAACTAGGGGAACAGAATTGTTTTGTAATCAAAGGAACACATCTTAGTCCTTTTTTACTTTGTATGCTTTGTTGAAAGTGACAAGACTAGGTTTTGTCCACCGAGAATGATCTTGGAACAAGGAAAAAATAAGTTAGGTAGTTATTTTTCATCTACGTGATTCCTAATCTTATATTCACTGTTCTCTAGTTGGAACTGGATTCTGATGCATGGTCATTATCGGTGTTATTGCTTGATTTTATGGCTAAGGAATCCGTTTTTGCCTGCAAAAGGGGCGCACCTTTGGAGGGTGTTCCAATACTCCAAAGGGTATAAAGAGCGGGACCTTACAATTAAAGTCAGATCCTTGCGATAAAGGTAAGAATGACAACTCTATCAAAACCGATTACTTCTTCATTTCTCAGTAGTGATGGAGTAATACCATAGAGGTAACTCTAAGACCAGAAGGTCCCGAAGGTACTATCTTCGGTCCCAAGCATATCGATGCACCCCTCGAAACATAGAAAAATCCACGAACCCCTCATTTTATCTGTCAAACTTGCATAGCGAATCAAGACAAACATAGTGTAGTTTTAGAATTTCTACTAGAATGGGGTACGCTTATAGATGTACTTGGGACCAATGGGCTGGTCAAGTAGTGAGCCAATTTTAAATTGTTAGTTTTTAACCGGTGGTAATACAACATGTACTAAACTAAGGACACGGTGTATTCCACAATAGATCAAATAACTCAAGCGTAACTATTCAAATCGACGTATCTGATTTTGTAAACAATCACTTCAATCGACGATTTGTGGCAACTGCTAGCTCAATCACAGAAACTAACAACACCAGCTACTAGGGGAAAGATTCCCCTACCTGATGATGGTGTTTGTTTGCGTGGGTGAGTTAGCAGTAAAGACATATCGGGCCTTATTACGGGTGTCACTACACGGTGATAAGGAAGTGATACTCAGAATAAGAGCCGTGATTGCCGTGCAAATCAAATGGGAATCACTTCACCGTGACGACAAGTGACAACTTTTCACCGTGAAGTGACATCCGTAATAATTCCCCATCTTCATTACGATTCCTACCACTAGAACTTTACCATGCAGCAATATTTTCAGATTTTTTTTTCTAGAGCATATATAACCTAGGGTAGGGAGGGTGAACCAGTACACGCAAAGCAAAAATCTATTACAATGAATGTTAGTTCCGTTTCCTATCATCCTCTGTTCATGAACATCGCAGCGAATGTTAGAAGTTGACCTTACAGGCGATGTAATGGTTTTTTGTCTTTTTCATTTCGTGTTCTATCTACGCTTTCGACTATACCAGTAAGCTTGTAGAACGACGCACATTGTAGAACATTGTAGAACGACGCAAACACTTGCCTCGAATCTCTCCAGCAGAAAAAGCATACGAAGTCGAGTATGCGAGAAAATGAGCGCTTCATGTTTACTTTTAGGCTATCCATATTCAGGAGCATGGAGAGAGCAGTGGAGAAAGCACAGGTCTGATAATCGCAATGTTCGTGGATCAAGTCCAGTCGGCAATCTGGTTCCTATTTTGTTTCGACATAACTAATTTACCTCACTAATACACTCTACATTTTTCGGTCTCCAATTTTCTTGCATTGGACCGCAGCTAGGTATATCGCATCCTCGGTTCATGCTGTCTCCACTAACATCCTCTGATGATGAATCTCACATAATTGTAAGCGAATCTTACATCCCCCGGTTGGGTGTAGTGGAGGTACTAAGCCAATTTATTAATTAAACAATAAATATACGATGTACACACAATTGTTATACGTCAATCTATAGCTTTAAACCTCTTTTTTGATAGAAAAATATTACACTGTAATAAAATTGCATATAATTTTAGAAAACTCATCCTCCATTATAGGAACACTGTTCCAGTAGTTGTGGTAGTTGCTAACTTTGGTTCCTATAATAGTGGAATGCGTTGGTTTCTTATGGGTTCCACTATTATAGGAACACTACTGCAACTATAGGTGCAAAGGAATGAAAATCTTAAAGAAAATTAACGATTTTCCGTAATTTTTGGGCTAATTTTCAGTTTGAAATATGCAAATATGCTTTATTTTAGGACAGCTACCGATGAAAAATAATCTTATCCGGGTCCTCCTCACTATTTCGGCTGGATCAGGTATTTTTTCTATTGGAAAAAGAACAAACGATTACATGAATTATTTATGATGCTATGGATATGGTTAAATAATAACTTTATTTTATGAAATTGGTTTTCTTCGTTAAAAACATCTTAGTTTGATAACACTGTAATAAAAATAATGTAAATTTAGGTGACCTTAGATATACTCAAGCGTCAATTTTGACAAATTAATAATTCATAAAAGATGTGGAATTCAGCTCAATCAACCGTACTTTTCATCGAATAACACAATTTTACATCTTCTTCTGCTAGACTTTTTACGCTTCTTATGCGAGAATTTTGTCGGCTCTCAAGACATAGCGTTCTAGATGCACTTTCAAAGTTATTAATTGAGAGCTTCCGATGCCAACCAATGCATGCATTGTGTGGCAAGCTGGTACTCTGCTCAGGAAAGTCAACAAAAATTTCCAATCCGAAAGATTTCTTCGACCGGACCGGGAATCGAACCCGCCACCTCCAGCTTGGCCATACCATGCCTATACTGGCTGGACTATCTGGGGCCAATTTGACACGACATGTGTATTTACGTTCTTTGCCTTATGTCAATGAATTCCGTCACGTGTAAAATTAGTTACTTTCTAGTTTCTGTTTGTTTAAATTTTTGAATTAATTTAAATAATGAATATGTAGTTATTTAAATTTTTAGTCCTGTTGCGTATGACAGTTTGCTGAAAATAGCGATGAAAATCAGATGAGATCCGATGGTCAAATTTTTTTCACTGGACTTATGAATGATCTAATTCTTAACTTCAAAATACAAATAGAAACTAGAACTTATATTTTATTCTACAATCATAGGAATATTACCAATCGGACTACCAGCGGCAGAATCCACCGGCGCACTACCGTCACAGTCAACTGGATCTTACAGAATGGGAGGAGGGCAATCAAACAGCGCATCAAATCAATAACAATAATGGTCACTCGTCAGGCCACATCAACAACTACCAGCAGCAACAAAGCCAACCGCAACAGCCACACGGCCATTCAAACTATCCCCCGAACCGACGAAGCATTGGTGCAAACAGCGAAAGAGATCTTTATCAATACCGCAATGGCAATGGAAAAGGACCTGATTCGCGTGATGAGTGGGAAGATGTCGACCGTCGGAGAAATGAGAACAAGTATTACCTATCAATGGTTTGTAGAACTGTGGTATACTAGCATATACTTATTTCATTCCAGACGATCGGACTCCAGATTTAACGACAATGCCAGTGTGATATCGAATGCAGTTCTCAATCATTTTGCTGGTGTTCATCGAAGGCCTGTGAATAGAGTGAGTAGATTAGTGACATGGAAAGTAAGCATTTTCTAATCATTCATTTTTAGAACTCCAATTTGCTGTCGGCAACTTTATGTTTGGTGAAAGAGCTGGACTACCCTAGTTTAGAGGTGGTTGAACACGCAGTTCGGTGCCGCATAGATGAATTGGCAGAGTAGTCCTGTTTAGTATATAAATCGGTTTTGTTAGTTTAATGTCTTGCTAACCTTCTAATTGTTCTCGACTCTCAATATACGTCAGCTCAACCTGGGGGCTCAAATATTACAGAACACACTTTTATACTGGATCTTGACCATTAGTCATCTGCTATAACAAATACGTACTGCTGAATTCTATTTTGTTATTTTTTTAATCTTCTCGTTGTTTATCAACATGGTTAAAACAAATTCAATAAAAGCGAGAACGTAAAAACTGAGAACAGGCCTTGAGAAGCAACAAGTGTGCAACAGTTTTCAAATGGTAACAAAATAACTTAAATGATTTGTGATTTATATTAATTGAGAAAAGACTTAACCACATGCCAGCATGAATGAATAGGAGCATGAATAAAACAGCTGAATGATAACGAAACAGAATAATTGTAATCATTAAAAGAAAAAAATAAAACAGCAATGAACAAGAACACAATAATCTGCCAACTTTGTAATAGAAACTAGAAATAGTGTTAGCCGTTCCAGGAAACTAACCTTTGATGTACATCCTACCTTAAAAACATGCTAAATGCGTACTCGAAGTTAAAAATGTACTCTAGTTTTAATTTATGCTCTTTCCGTGATCAACGTTACGAAGATAAACTAAGTTTTAGCTTCTAATGCCTTCTAAGTTCTCTCCCTCATCCCCCAGAAGCTTTAAGATCTATATAATGAATTATTTAGCAATATTTTGCAAGTAAACAGTCCAACATTCAGTACAAATGTAGATGAGAAAAACGGAAAACTATGTGAAGGATTACATTAGTCACACATTTTCACCCAGTTGCACTGATGCCAAGAAATGAGTGACGATAAGAAAGTTTTTATGAAAAAATAAAGAGTCGTAGGTACTATGTCAACAGAGGTACCATGGAATAATGAAGGTTTGTGTTCAGGTTTATTTTGGTATGCCTTCATTCAAGTGCTTTTAAATAGCGACATCTGTTCCTCAAATAAAACCAGTCATACGCGATTACGTCCACGAATAATTTGGTTTTTATGTTTCGGCAGCAAGATAAATCCATGAATAGGGTTAATAATAGATTCAAGATAGTAAGAGGGAGGATGGCGTTTTAGAACGTTAACTAATGATGTAGATACGCATGACAAATGCGGAAGCTGTGTAAAACAAGAATTTAATAAATAACTACTAACAGATCTAGCTTTCAATTTTGTATCACATTCAGGACGAACAGCAGTATGGTTTAATGTTGGTAGCAAGATTGCGGACAAGTTTTTCACTGCAGAGCAAGCTGTGAGCTTGTACCAACAATCAATACGAAACTAACGATTTTAAATTGGCTCACTACTTGACTACCCTATTGGTCCCAAGTAAACGATTAACGCACCCCATTCTAGTCGAAATTCTAATACTACACAATGTTTGTTTTGATTCACTATGAGAATTTGACAGATAAAATGAGGGGTTAGTGGATTTTCCTATGTTTCGAGGGGTGAATCGATAAGCTTGGGACCGAAGAGAGTACCAGAGCTGAACCAAAAAGTTGAGCACGTTTCTTCGGGACCTTCTAGTCTTAGAGTTACCTCTATGCTTGTACCGTTGCTGTGTACCTTCTACCTAGTCGATACTGGAACCTGGAACCATCGTTAAAAGAAACATTCAATAATTACGTAAGCAGTTTTTATAGGATTACCCTGAATCTATTGTAACTATACCACCGACAAACCGACATGACACTTAATTCTGACTTATGCCCGAAAATCGTAAACTGTCGATTTAAATGTGATCCGAGTTCGGACAGTTGTCAAAACCATAAGATTTTTTGATCTAGATAAAAATAATTTGTCCATAATAGATCAGACACGAACCAGTTCTTAACTTTTGCATGCGGGTTCATGGCTTAGCTAAATATTTCCTGCGAACACGGAGCCAGATGTCAGTAGTGTGCTTTGGTCAGAAATTTTATTGTTTTTGCTATGTTCATTCATATCGGTTTGTCGGTGACTATACTACTACCATAGAGGTAAAACTAAGACCAGAAGGTCCCGAAGAAACGAGATCAACTTTTTGGCTCAGCTCTGGTACTATCTTCGGTCCCAAGCTAATCGATTCACCCCCGAAACTTAGAAAAATCCACTAACCCCTCATTTTATCTCCCAAACATTCATAGCGAATCAAAACAAACATTGTGTAGTACTAGAACTTTGACTAGAATGGGGTGCGTTAATCGATTTGCTTGGGACCAATAGGCTAGTCAAGTAGTGAGCCAATTTGAAATCGTTAGTTTCGTATTGATTGTTGCTACTACTACCGTGATTGTAAAAATAAATACTGGGATGGGAGGAAGCATCAGGGAATCATTTGACCAGAAACTGGCCGATGGAGTGTTATGACAACCGGAGTCTTGGAGGAAATAAACACTATAATTTTCTTTATCCTACCGATTCAATTGTGGTGGTGTGAATTTTACTCCAACAGTTTCAGGGAGATTGACGCTTAGAAAGTATTACCGACTTCGGTAATTTTTACCGAACTTTCAAAAGCAGAACTGTTCGGTAAAAATCAGGGTTTTCAATTCATTGATTTTAACGCTTCAAAACAAGGAAAATTTTACCATGGCAAGACTCGATTATTTAAACAAGACTGACAGTGTTTTGAAATTAAAATTTAGTCAAACAGCTTTTGAAATGAAGGACAAAGTTCTACCGAACGTTCAGCTGTTGAAAGTTTGGTAAAAATGAACGATGTCGGTAATAATTTCTAAGTGTATAACAAACCATTACGAAGGAAGCTTAATAAGTATTGCGAATTGCGTTATTCGATTTGTTGGATCGTATCTCTTACATTCCTGTAGATAACGTAAGAGAGGGTGGGGTAGGTTAAAATTGTGTTCACCACCATGTATTTGGTGTAAAAAACCTGCTTGACAAGGGGGGGGGGGGGGGATTCAAGTATTTAGGGATAGGGCCTTCAGATGGAATGCGTAATGCTCTCTGCAGAATGATAGTCATCTTAAATTGATATGCATTTGGTATTGGTTCAGCCCCTTAACGCAAATCATTCAAAACGATGATGTAAATAATTCTATCGAACGTCATTTGCTGCTTTGAATAGACAAACGAGGTGGAAGCAAAACCATCGCTAGCAGAGGTGGTACAAACATTGGTAAAGCGTGGAAACCGTAAATTGCCTATTTCCTGGTGTAGGAAGTTTCATTTACCAACTAAGCTGAAACTTGGTAAGTTTCAACTTACCAACTGGCTGTTCATGGCTATTCAATATGAAAATGTAAACAATCGAAGTTAATAATCTAATCTAAAGCATAAGCAAGTCATCATATCCTTAAATTGTTGTTCTGTGAGCCCATTATGTTTTACAGCCAATTTTCAAATAAATATCATCCTTTATTTGGAGGACAGTCATATGGATGCTCATCAGTTGATGACGAATTCAGCCATAAGGAAATCATCTGTAATTCGACAGCATATTGTTAAAGGGCTCGAGCAATACAATAATCAGTCGAAGTATTGCGGATGTTTTTGTTCAATGTACATGCCCGATAGGTACACTCAAAAAAAAATATCACATATCTAATGAATGAAAACTATGTGAATTTCATATAGCTTTCATATGATCACATAGCTAAAAATACCACCACAAAATCACATGAATATTATCTTCTTCATTCCTTTATTTAACGGTGATCTCTGTTCCGCAATCTAGTGCCAATTACATCCATTAACGGCAATCGAATGTGCAGGAAGGCAGCTACCACACCTGCGTAGGATATCGCACCCATTCAACACACATGGGCCGGGACCAACGGCTTTACTTCCCTTCCGAAGGAAGACGTGACGACCAGAGATTTGTATGCCTCAGTAAAATCCCACCGACCTCTGCTGTGATTGAACCCAGACCCATTGGGGTGTTAGAAAGCAGTCACGCTTACCACTACACCACCAGCGACGGCTACATGAATATTATGAGGCCGATGAAATTCATATGATGAATCATATTAAATTAACGTGATCGCATAAATGTTATGTGAAATTCAGATGAATTCCATTCCAATTATATTTCATTTGCGTTTCCAATGGAAGCTACATGAAAACTATTTTCGGTGTACAATGACGTTTATACAAGGTCCAGGCCAAGCTGCCTGTTGGCTTGTGTTAGAAGCAAAACTATTGTAAACATTGCTGAGCACTCAAGTGACGACGTCACTCTACCTCTACCATAACATTCCATACTGCGAACAGTGCTTCGTGAAAAAGATAAACATTGCAAAGAAATACGAACACCACTAAACCTTTGCACATTTTACTAACACCAACAAGTCTGTTGGCCTGGACCGTATACAGGGTTACCAAAACTACTGATAAATCTGTATTTCTACAGATTTTGTAGAGTTTTTAAATCCAAGATTCTGTATTCACAGATTACAGATTTTTAAAATATGATCAAACATTTTAAAAATTAAACTTGAGGTGTTCAATAACAACACATAATTTTCACTTCAGTGTAATTTTATCACCACCAATTTTTAAATCTATGCATGCAAAACTAAGATGAAAAGATTTTTTTGGGCAAAAACACAGATTCCCTTTTGGCAACCCTCAAAGGACACTGTGATAGGGAGACGGTTTGACAGTTCGATAGGTAGATTTTGGTTTTAGTGTGCGTAACTCTTCTATTATTAACTCTGGCGTCTGGCGAAGTCGTAATGATTTTCGAACCAATTTTAACAGTCAAAATCCAACCAGTCCGAATGAAGGCGTGATCAGAGATATTATGCCTCAGAACATCCCGGCGGCACCGACTGGAACTGCTGGGGTGAGAGGCAATCACGCTTCTTTGTTGTTATAACACATAATACTATAAACCATATTGATTATTGATGGTTTATGGCTAGTACACCCAATAATGATGTTTTCGTGTATTGTGTATCGACCAGTACTAACATCATAATGTCACTACTGGTGAAACTAAAGAGCCTGAATTTATAAAGAGGCGACACCTTATCCATTTGACAGGTCTTCTGCTCGATTGGAATGACTTTTCCTATGACTTTGACAGACAATCGGTTGTTCCAATTTTGACATGTCGTCTCTTTATAAATTCAGGCTCTTTAGGTGAAACGTATCAGCCCCATCTGGAAAAACAGCAAGCCGAGAAAAACGCTGTACTGCAACCAGGTCAATCCATCGGTTGTGTAATATAACATTGTACGATGTACATCGATTTTGCGAACAAAATTACATCCATTAATGTAATATTGTATCTGCTTTTTGCTATTACATCATTATTTCATACATCAGCTTGAATTACATTGATCGATATTACATTTTTTTTTTGCTGTGTAGGGAAGGGAAGTAAAGCCGTTGGTCCCCGGTTCATGAGTTGATGGGTCGATAGGTAGGGCACCGACAAACCGACATGAATGACCATAGCAAAAGCAATAAAATTTCTGACCAAAGCACACTACTGACATCTAGCTCCGTGTTCGCGAGAAATATTTAGCTGCACAGCTAAACAAAAGTAGTGTAAATTTCCGTTACTATGATGCACATAAATCGAGCGTCATATATCATACAAGTTTAGATTATAGATCGTGTAAATTTATGAGACATGTCACGCAATATTCCATATATTGTATGCAACTGTCCACTTTTGTTTGCAAATTTCTTGCAAGCTGCTAGTTTACGTGAAAAGGAAGTTTACATGTATAAATGTTTGCATGCATGGATGTTTACAGCGCCAGTAAAATTCAGAATTTTTTGGTGTGTAAACCATGAATCCGCATGCAAAAGTTATGAATTGGTTCGTGTCGGATCTATTCTGGACAAATTATTTTTTATCTAGATCAAAAAATCAAAAAATCCTATTGTTTTGACAGTTTGGATCACTGCACATTTAAATCGACCATTTACGATTTTCGGGCATAGGTCAGTATTAAGTGTTATGTCGGTTTGTCGGTGGCCTCCCTGGCGTCGGTAGCATTGGTGCTCAGCACGGAAAACAAGATCGACGGAAAACAAATCAAGAGAAAAAAAACAACAAAGGTGAACTTTTAAACGAATTTGAAGTAACATTAGCAAGCTAAACAATTCATGTTTGGCTGTCATCGGCAAATAAAACATATCTAGAATAGTTAGTAGTTTTTAGAACGTATAATATAATAGTAATTTTCCATTAGATAGTACGGTTACACATTTCAGTTTATTGTCTCAATGTCATTGCATTTTTAGCATTGTGCTCATAGTGTACATTCCGGTTCTTAGATTAACAGTTACAGTAGTATTAGATTAGGTTTTTTTTTGCAGCAACAATATAGTACTAGCATGATCCTATAGCACATCAATGCTCATTCATTTAGATGTTATTTTTTTAATGTCTGATGAGAACAATCGAAATTATCGCGAAATACTTCCTTTGTCTTGGTTGCGTATGCTGTCGTTTGGCATTTAAATTTATTCAAGCAATTTTAAGTTTTGGAAATTGAATTACAACATTGATTTGCTAAGCGAGCTACATTTTTCCACCTTTTCTCTAATCGATGAACTGCCTAATGAGCTTCTGGTTATTTTGATCTTACTGTATTTATTGTCTTTCACAGCATTTTTTTTTTCACTCTTCTAAATTTGAAACGTCCTGGATTATTGTTTCACCTAGATGACATGGTGACTGATGTTACTTGTTCAAATTTATAAGAATGTACGTATGTACACATGCATAGTTTATTGTTTCTTTGATGTTTAAACTCAATTGATGGATCTTTGTCGCAAGACAGGGAAACTTAAGAAGAGTTCCATCATAAAATTTATACTAAAAAATTGACGTTTGACAGAGATAACTCTATCAGAATGGAGTTCATGCTTCTCCATCTTCCTAACTTGGAAGGTAGAGAAATATATTAGATTAATAGATGCTGGGATTTTTTGTTGTAACTAATGCGTTCTACTTCAATAAGGTTCATCCAATGAGAAAATCTATACTAATATACACAACTACGACGGATATTCCTCGGAAGTGATATTTGTTTGGAAGCCCTTTGATTTATAGTTCTGCTTATAATTATATCTGTTCTTTTAATGTTGAATCAAAAAAAAATCTGAAGTCAAACAATACTTTCAAATATTCAAGGAAATTAGCATGTAATTCCCTCCGATATGTTTCGATCTGCATTTGTTACTCCTGGTTTCCAAATTTACTTTAAGTTATTCACCTCACTTAATTAAAGCAAGATTGCATAAATAATGAAAAAAAAAATACACTAAAGAAAATTTCAATCAGAACATAACACTAAACAAACGGTGGCAAATCACAATTGCATAATGTCCCGCCTTCTCCCATTTTGCACCACAGGGTACAGAGGTCATCCCAATTTGGGGTCGTGGTTTGAATGCCGGTCGTGCTGTCGGCAGCAGCGAGATGCTCTCCATTGCAGCGGCTACAGCCATCTAACTGGATGTTGGCTGCTGCACAGAACGCACTGCAAACACCGTTGTGGTCGTTAACTACGTTCGGTGGTGTCAATGGTTTGCAGTGGCATCGACCTGCACCTGTGAATGGAGTTGGAGCGAATATTAGTTTTTTTTTATTGAATTAAAGATATTTTAATTTACCTAAACCATTCGCGCAAAGCGTTGGACAAATAGCAGTGTGTGCTTTACTGTCTAATTTTATTCTATTGGATTTATCGGTAGCGGTCTGCTGCTGCAGGCAGGTAAACCCACAAGTGGGTCCACCGTACCCCTCTCTAGAAGCAAGGAAATAAAAAAAATAATTGTTATTAAGCACAGATCAGGGTTTGCATATAATTTGCGTCCAACTAAGCACAATCCACGCTTTAACTCTCTTTTTTTAAACGTGTTTGTACAACAGAAGTGAATATTTCTACTAATACTTATGTTTCCCAGTGTACCGTTTGATTTGCGAAAGAGTCAGAAATTGTATGTATTTTAACGAGTTTCAATTTCGTACAAATATATTGAGACACTTTTGGATTTATTTTGTCATGCGGATGAAGGTAGGAAAAATTGATTTACTTTTGAGAGAACTTCTTTTGTTTTGAGTAAAAATTATGCAGATATTCATATCTATTCATATCATGCGTTCTTATAGACTTTGTTTTGTAGCTTTTGAATAAAAGTACCGTATGAATGATTCGATTTCGTCAAAATGAAAAAATTTATGTGATGTTCAATAGGACGATAATAGGCGCTTTGGTCAAAGTAGCTCTTTAGCCAATTAATTAATCCACCATGATTTTGAGTTGATCTCATCAGCCATTTCGATTTTTGTTTGAGAATAATAATAAGCCCGGTTGAGGCGATTTAATTCGGGGCGTTAATCTCAATTGCGACTTGTAACAGAAATCCCTCGTATTTAACCTGCATTAGGAAAAAATACTCAGTGTTTTCAGGTCCAAAAACACCCTAATGCACAGTGGTTCCTGGGTGGCCAAAACCAATAAATGAAAGTTGATTTTTGTTTTATTTCAATTTAAGTTACGGTTAGCAACTTAATGCAGATTTTTTATTGTTTATAAGAAAGTTAGAAGATACCGAGAAGTAAGCACATAAGAGACGTGTGTGTGTGAGAGAAAATTTGCGAAAAAATCTAAGGGCACCGGTGGGATTCGAACTCACAATTTCCATTCAGTACACGGGTGCATTGCCAATTATACAACGGTGGACCTATGGAATCCTACCGGTGCCCTTAGATTTTTTCTCAAATTTTCTCACGCACACGTCTCTTACCGATGATATGTGCTTACTTCTCAGTATCTTCTAACTTTCTTATAAACAATAAAAATCTGACTATAAGTCGCTAACCGTACAAAGCAAAAAATTAATTTTAATATTACATCCAAGAGGATGCACTTCAATCATGTCGAAAATCTCATGTAATTTTTATGGCCACAACAATAAACAAATGCAGTGAAAGCAGCGTAATGTCAGTTCATGCACTGTATTAATGATAATTTTGTCCTTTTTGGCAAGTAATATTACTCCATATTTTTGACACGATTCAAGTGCATTCACTTTGATGTGATATTAAAATTATTTTTTTGCTGTGTAATTAAAAGTTAAAAAAAAAGTATATGATAATCATCATTACGGTCCGGTGGTCGAAGGTGAGGTCAGCCGTTCTCCGCTCTATTCATACTGTATTGGACAACTCTAATCCAACATGTGATGATGTAGAACACAAACGAGCTGTGTTTTTTCACGTCGACTGATACTTGTTTCGATCGGAAGACAACTGGGAATCACCCATACAACAGTGTCTCGGGTGGAAAATCGTTTAAGGAGTCCCAGACGACCGAGCGGCGGGCTGGAAGTGGAAGAAAATCAAAAACAGCTGACCTTGTGAAGGCCCGGAAGGTGTTGGATTATTTCAAGCGTAATCCGAACCTTTCGATTCGCGACGCGGATCTGAAGGCAAAGTGTTCCGCCTGGTTCGTTCAACAAACCATGAAGCGAGCTGGGTTTCGTGTATTCAAGGTCCGGAAGGCACCGAACCGGCGTGATCAACAAAACACGGCGGCCAAATCCCGCGCAAGGAAGCTGTATCGAGAGTGGTTAACGAAACCGATGTGTGTGGTTATGGATGACGAAACCTACATCAAGGCAGACGCAAAGCAGATACCTGGGCTGGAGATCTACTTTGCCAAATCACGGTTTGATGTTCCGGAAGACATAAGGAAGAAGAAAGTGGACAAATTCGCCAAAAAATACTTGCTCTGGCAGGCCAATGCGGTAAACTGACTAAACCGTACATCACAATGGGTACCATCAACAGCGAAATTTACCGCACCGAGTGCCTCCAGAAGCGTCTGTTGCCCTTCCTGCGGTCCCACGGAGGCGAGGCATTATTTTGGCCGGACCTGGCATCATGTTATTACGCGCGATCGACGTTGGATTGGTACAGAGACAATAACGTTGTTTTTGTACCAAAAACCGCCAACCCCCCAAATTCACCAGAGATTCGTCCGTTGGAAAGATTTTGGGCCATAATGAAGGCCAAAGTTTGAAAATCGTCCAAGTTGTTTAAGAACGAGATGGAGTTGAAGAAAGAATGGATGAAAGTGAACAAAAAGGTCGGCTCCACCATTGCACAAAATGTAATGAGGGGTCTTAAGGGAAAGGTGCGGGCTTTCAGCGATGTAAAGGAAATTGAATAAAGAAATTATGCCGAAACATAATCCATATGTATTAATTCATTACCTGAAAGTTTCAAGAAAATCCGATTTAAAATAAATTTTTGGCGAACACTTTTGTCTGGTGCATTTTTTTTCGAGTACAGGCCTTATTAGAGAACGCTTGCGCAACAAGACTAGGGAGGGAAACAGATTCGAAACTTAAAATGTGGGGATACTTCTACCTACACGATGATGGTGTTGGTTTGTGTGGGTGGCCTTCGATTTGTGAGGAATGGGCTTTGGAACGGTTTGTTTACAAATGCTGATGTGCCCTTCTCTATTGTTGATCCAGAAATGTCATTAGCCAAATACATCCGTAGACCATAGGTCCACCATTGTATACAGGGTGTACGGAATCAAATTGCATCACAAGAAAAGATTCGGCAAAATTACCCCATTCACCCGATCCATTGGCAATGCACCCGTGTACTGAATGGGAATTGTGAGTTCAAATCCCACCGGTGCACAGTGGTCCAGGAGAGTGTTTTTCAGGTAAAAACTAAAAAAGTGCATAAAGATGCAGTTTAATCTGTCTTCAGACAAGTTTAGGTTTGAAAAAAGGCGCATCTGATGAAGGGATCGTCCATAATTTAAATCCCTTGGGACAAAAAAATAAAATTTCGAACTTTTTTTCAATGCGGTTTAGAAAAATAAAATGTTCCACAAAGTTGCAGATCTTATCATTTCCACAAACTCTGTTGAAAACATCAATGGTTTAAATCGTCGGTTTCATTGAGATATGAAGTATTTTTTAAGGAAGGTCCCTTCAAATCGTTTTTTCAACCATAACTTTTTTTTTTTTTTATTTTTTCCTGGCATGCTATGTTTGAAAGTGTTTTTTCATTTACCAAAACAAGCAACTTTCTACAATACTTCAACACGCTACCTCACAAATGCACCATGTTAAGAGCGTTTATGTGTTCAAAACATACGATATTCTGGTGGATAATTTGCAAATTGGGGCAACCAGTTTTTTTAAGCCAATGATGTTATCAAATTTTACGTGCTTTGATTAATTTTTTCATGTAAAAATATTTGAGGGGATGTTATTTTTCATTCCAGGACAGCTAATTTAAAATCATGGCTTTTAGCTCCATTTTACTTAAAATTGGCTCTTTTCTGAACTAACTTTTATTCATGGTGGGTTTTGAATCAAGTTCGGTTCAGGTCATTTCCCCGGTGGCATACGGGAAATGCCCGGAAGTGGCTAATGTGGTCATACATACTTATTAAGGACACCATTGATCTTGTTGTTGAATTTTGGTGTATTTTGATGAGAACGTTTTCTTGGGGCGATCCTTGGCGTCCTCGAGACGTTCAGCGTCTCAGAAATTAGTTTTCCCTTCAACGGACAGAGTTTTTCGAATATTTCCAAATGTCGGCTGCTCCACCAATTGTTGAACTTGGCAATGAAATCTTTTTTTTTCGCATCCGCGATATTCAACACACTACCAGATTTTTTTTTGTACATGATCCAACAGCTTTTCATCCCAACTTTTCCTTCCATTAATGGGTTAACCAGCTCCTTGTTTGCAATGAATATTCCTGTAAATACTTATGACTAATAAAAGTCCTACAATACTTGTAAAAATACACTTACTTTCCGTCATCTTCGAAGCCATTAAGCTTCAGCGCGTGCAGTTTTCTTGTAAAATACTGAATAATAATACTGTAAAATACTGAATAATGAAAACTTTGGCTGATTCACAACTGGCGAAACTAGAGAGTATCGAGTATGAACTACGTTTTTGTGGAATAAACTGGGGTGCAAATCGACAAAATAGTGTGACGAAATAGTGTCAGGTTTTGAACGCTTATAACTTGACCAATTATGAATGGATTTCGAATCTTATTACACCACTTGATTAAAATTTGATGTAAGATTCGTTTGGTGTAAATTTGTTTATCAATAGTAAACTATTGAAAATTGATCAAATATTTTTACCATAATCAACCATTCAGTGCAGTGCTCGCTTGCTCTCGCACTTGCTATGACTATCAGGCAGATAGTCGATAGTGAGGTTATAAAAGAGCGCAGCTGTAATTTTTTGTGTTAGTTCATCTGCGGATGTATTAACGCAAGAGTAAGTCAGTGAAGCGAATCGATCAAAGGAGATCGAGCCTTTTAAAATGTTCATCGAGATTTGGTTTATAGTTTTTACACACCCGTTCAAAGTTACCCAAAAATGTGTAGAATAGGATGAATTATTTTCGGAGTAAACAAGGGGAATTCAAAAATAGGTAAAAGCTTTACCAACAATAAGGTAAAAACTTACTTAAAATTAATTAATGTGTCGAATTTTTTAACGTGTTAACTAAACAGAAGGATGATGTCTCTTTGATCTCTAATTACTTGCTTAAGATGACATCCCAATTTGATAGAAGGTTGGGTCTTCGGGAAAGTTGTGCAGGTGAACAATACCTATCAGATGCAATATAAAAGTGTTATATGATGTCAGATGCACTGCAATGTATTATAAGCTGGAATGTTATATGAAATGCATTTTAACTTACGGTTGATTTTTTTTCTTTGATTTGTTTTCCGTCGATCT